AATGTATCAGAAGTACAATTTGACATTTTTTTGCTGTTTGTAGGTAGTGTGATACTGCCGAAAAAATAATGATTTTGGGATTGGCATGTAACAGCCATTTCCCACCCAAAATATTCATACACTCCGATCATAAATATGCGGCCCACAGTGGTTCAGCGGTAAGTCTGGAGACTTATAAAGTTAAAATTCGGGTTTTGATACTTGTGATGGGCACAGTACAGATAGCCCATTAGATAGTTTTGTACTTAACAATAAACAAAGAAATATAAAGTTGTGTTCAGATCGGTCATTTTGAATTTACAAAACGGGGATATCCCTCGTTCTTAATGAAAATGGAAAATATAGGAATATTAAATAACTTCGGGCACCAGTTGTAGTGAGAAAAGTACGGCGATTTGTAGCAGATGAGACTCCACGAACAAAAAATCATTGACAAAACCTGTACGAGTGTCTCACGATCTCTGTCTTGAAAAGCAACATGTACGCCAGTTGCTTCACCTACATACCTGATTCAACCATCGCATAAACCAAGCAGCTGGAGAATGAGTCGGTTATTCATGGTATTCCATATGAAGACATATTGGCTAAGTCGTCATGGGCAGAACCTATGGATTTCTATTTGATCTTACTTTTATAATGGGCACTGGGAATCGTCGGTCTCCTATTAATGAATGGCAGTCGCTATAAAGGCAGTAGTTTTAGCCTGGCCTGATGAGTTGTATGTGTTAAAGTTAGTCAAATATTGTACTCCTCAAGTTACAATATAATATTTTGGTGAGTAAATCATCGTAACAGCTTCAATCATTGGTGTGCTAGCCCTTCTGACGCCAGAATCAGGATAATTAGCAGAACATTTGGCTGTTACGTTACTCAGTGGTTCTCTACTTTAGCGATGTTTTTGGGGCTAAATTGAAGGTCTTAATAGCTTTAGAAAACCTAAGTTAGGTGTTTATAAAAGTTTCTTAGACTGTTATAAGAGAGGTTTGAGATTATGATGAAAATACATAATATGCGTCGGCCATTTTTTTTCCAGTCCATCCTGCTTAATAAGCACTACCGTGCTTAGTGATTTACGCGTAATGTTGGGCAAAAAGAAACGTCAGAAGGGATGCAGAGAAGCCAACCTTCCAAAAATCCTTTACGGGTAGCTTATTATTATTTTTTTATACCAAACTTAACAGAAATGGCCTATCATATTTTAAAGCATATCCTGTTTAAATTTCAGGTCTTAAGCTGTAGCCCAAAGATAACTTTAAATACTGCTTTGTTGGCCATTCAATCATATTTTGTTTTATGATAAAACAAGAAAATAGCCAAACAACACAGATTCAATCTTGAGAATTATTTAGTAGCTTAACATTGTGATATTTCGAGGACATCGTAATAAAAGTCACAGAACTTCTGTATATCAGTTCTTCCTTTCGTATTGATATCCAATGTTGCGTAGTTTCCGAAATTATGACCCCAGGACCATATTAATGATGGGGCAGAAGGAGCAGCTGCACCAGGAATCCGACCACTTGGGGCCCCCAACGAAAAGAAAGTTTGTAATTTCTATGCATTATGTACTTGTATTTATTAGGGGGGCCCAAACTGTATTCTACTGCCCCACGCCCCATCTCACCTAAATCCGCTCCCGCTTATCCCATCTAATCGGTGAACAAGACAAGGTAAAAGACACAGGAACCACTACATGACTTTGTGAATAAAGTGTTGTCATAACCGTAAAGTTTGTTTGTTTGTTTTTAATTATGCACAAAGCTACACAAGGGCTATCTGTGCTCTGCCCACCACGGGTATCGAAACCCGGTTTCTAGCGTTGTAAGTCCGCAGACATACCGCTGTGCCACTGGGGGGCTAACCGTAAAGCCTCAAGTCTTTATACAGTTACTACTGATTAGATGAGAAGAAAAGCTTACAGTGTAAATACTTTAATTATTCTAATTGAAAACAAGTTAACAGACGCAAACACATACACCCGTACGTATATAAGAAAGACATAATTTTGAACTTTCGTATTTCATTCAAATTTTAAACTGTAATATCAGTGTC